ATGTAATAATAGCTATGCTTAATGGATGTTTAACAATGGATGTTTAACAATTATAACAATTTTTAGATTTAGATTTTAGATTTTATTGGAAATTTGTATACATGTATATTGAATTGATGATACTAATAATGGAAAAAACCTGGAATTGAAAATTATTAGAGAATGTTATCAATGCTAAAATAATAGAATGATTTAGAATAGGATATAAAATTATTTATTATTGGATATATTGATGATATAATGAATCATTATAATATAAATTGATACATATTTAGAATACCTTGTTTAAAATGGAGAAACAATAGTGATAAGCAAACAATTGAAGTATAATCATAATGTATACAAAGATATTTGATTGACAATATGTGAATTTTGATAAAGCTCAAGTGATGACTATGGAAAGGACGCGGAAAGACCTTGTAACCAATTGATACACTGTATGCAGTTGAATAGGTTTTTATGTTATATGTCTTATGTGTTTGTGTTTGTTTGAAAATAAAAATTTTATTTAAACAAAAAAGGAAATTGAGTTATCATGGGACCAGCTTTTCCCTAGGATAATTAAACAAGAGGCTAAGATTTTCTAGAACAGTTAGGATGGTTCTCCAGGCGACACATTTTGTTGTTCTGTTTTCTTGGATAATTGCAATGGTTAGGAGCAGCATTTGGACATCTTGCATTTATTAAAATATTAATTGTATACTATAAAAAGGGTTTCATGGGGTGTATGATACAGCAGAATGGGAGCTTTTCATGATTAGTGACTCACACATGTCTCCAATGGAATTGGCCTAGCCTCACTTTATGATTTATGCCATCTTTCTGGCCTGCAAAACAAGCCACAGAGAAGAATTCAGAAAGGAAATACTTCCGTATGCTGGAGGTTCTTCTTATGGCCACAGCAAAGGCTGCTCAGGATGCCAGTGGGGAAAGCCTCGGGGTGCTTTGGGACTCTTCCCCTATAAATGCTGCCTTTGGCTGTAGCCCATGCCTGGCTCCAGCCCTCTTTCTATGAAGGATGATGGAGGGCAGGAGGATGGAAATTGAGTTTTCCAGAGGCTCTATTGGGAAATGCCAGTTGCCTTGCTTGTGCCCTTCCCTCCCCACCCTCCTCCTCACCTTACTACGCAGGAGGCCCCCACTCTGGTGTTCTGGGGTGCTGTTTTCTGATGTGTTCTTGGCTTTCTCCTTATTGTTGTTTGGTTCGTTGTCTTTGATGATGTCGTACTGCCTGCAGAACAGGGCAATCACCCCTGAGGGAAGAAAAGAGGTCACAGATCAGCATTTCCTGAAGGTCCCACAAGCACCTCCAACCATCCTCCTGGGGGAGGGAGGGAAGGAGGGAGAACTGCCCCGGGTGACTTCTCTGCAGAGTCCTGCTTTGCACTCTCTAAACGTCACAGGTTCTGCAGGGCCACAAAAGCAACTGAGAATGGGGCAGGTCCACTCATGCATTTAAACAGAGCTGCTTTCCTTCTCTTTTAGTGTCAAAATCTAGAGAACTGGACGAACTGAGGGCCAAGGGGATAACATGGTTTATTGGAAAGAGGCAGGTGGAATCCCACCTTCAGTCATGGAGCCTCATTGGCTGATTATGGGTCATTCTCTCATTCTCAACCCCATCTACCTTGTGAGCAATTGCTCTGGAAATAAAAGGAAGAAATCACCAAGGATAAAGTGAGCTCTTGGAGCAGTCTTCCTCAACCTTGATGGTAAATGTGTATGCGTCTTATATAGTGAATATTGCTGTTCTAGATGGCCGGGATCGCTGCCGCCTATCCCTGCCGCCACAGCCCATGCGTCACTGCCTGTTCGCCACCAATTGGTGAATGTGCCACATCAAATGGGTCACAGCAACTATGAACGGGCTACGGTGAACAGGCCATGATGGCGGCAAATGGGCTGCGGCAAACAGGTCACGGCGGCAGTGAATGGGCCATGGTGAACAGGCCATGGTGAACAGGCCACGGCAGCGAACAGGCTGTGGCAGCAGCAAATGGGCCGGAGTCAGGGTGATCCCCACCCCCAAGAACAGCTGATCGGCAGTATTCCAGGAGGCAAATCCAATCACCAATCAGCTGCTCGGCAGCGAAGGCTCCAGAGTTCCCTGGCGGCAGCAGCAGCTCAGCTCAGTTGGTCAGTGGTGGGCGCAATGGAGCAGAGCCCTGACAAGCCACGTCTTGGGGTTCCGATAACATCCTGAAATTGACCAGGCTGTTTTCTGTTTGCTGCAAGGACATTAGCCAGATGAATACCAGATGGATTTATTTGTTTGTTTGTTTGTAAAATTTCTAGGCCGCCCAATCCCGGAGGACTCTGGGATGCTGGGAGGCAGAGGCAGATTTTGAAATGTTGGTGGCCTTGTGATAAACCATGGTTTCTAGGCTTCTGTCTTCCTGCCTGTTGACAAGCACATCTACAAATGGCAATTGCATTGTCTTTCAGAGCATTTCTTTTGAAGACAAATGTGTTATCCATATAGTGGCACCAACACTTAGTAGTGTGATTTTGAAATGTATGATGTTCTAGTTCATGCAGGACAGTTTCTACAATGACTCCTGATAGTGGGGATCCCATGGGCATCCCTTTTATTTGCTCATGCATTTTCCTTTTGAACATGAAGAAGATATGTTGACAGTACTAGTGTAGCTTCATGATTTGTGTCCTGGTTAGGTTGTTCTGATCTGTGCTGTACTCTTCTTCTTGCATTAGGATTCAGAATTAATTAGGCCAGTTGAGTTCCCAGATCAGTCTGATGTCCTCGTAGGTCCATTCCATAAATGTAGATTTTCCATTTCTTTTTCCATACCATATAGCACTCAAACTAACCTTCTCAAGCCCCCTGCGTCACTGTTGCCTCTAAGGTGCGCGGGTGCGGGGCCGCGCACTTGGCAAGAAAACCCCGCACAGCAGTTTCTAACTGCCGCGCAGGGGCCTCAAAAAATCTAGGGTTAGCACAGGTGCGGGGACGGCGGCAGGAGCTTACGCGGCACAGCTGGTCTCCTAGGACCTCCTAGGTGCCGGCTGCACTGCTCATTACCGTCAGTCGCCCCGTGTTCAGCAAAGCAAACGCGGGGAAGTCCTTTGCAGGCGGCTAGAACTGGCCACCCGCAAAGGACCTCCCCAGACTTGTTTTGATGAGCACGGAGTGACTGACGGTAGTTTGCGCCGGCCGCAGCCACTCAAACTAGCATCAGTCGCCCCGTGTTCAGCAAAGCAAGCCCGGGGAGATCCTTTGTGGGTGGCAAATCCTAGCCGCTTGTGCCCAACTCTGTGGCTGAAGTGAACCCCCAAAGCCCCCGCTGCCACCAGAATATCTGCTGCCGCCTCCTCCTCCTCCAACAGCACTGCCGGATTTGCTGCCCAACGCTGCGGCTGAGGTGAAGCCGCCAAAGCTCCCATCAGCACCTCCGCCCATGGCAGTGGTGCCTCTCCCTCCACGCAGAGCACCTGAGCTGGCTCCCGCGTTATCCCTCCCCCTTCCTCCTCTGCCATGCTTTTGAGGAGCCATGAGGCCGCGGGAGCTAGTAGGAAAGCGGCGGAGGTGGAGGCGACGGCAGGGGTAACCCAGAGCCCAGCTGAGGTGCTCCGAGCGGAGGGGGAAGCATCACTGCCATGGGCGGAGGTGCTGATGGGAGCTTTGGCGGCTTCACCTCAGCCGCAGCGTTGGGCAGCAAATCCGGCAGTGCTGTTGGAGGAGGAGGAGGCGGCAGCAGATATTCTGGTGGCGGCGGGGGCTTTGGGGGTTCACTTCAGCCGCAGAGCTGGGTGCAAGCGGCTAGAACTGGCCACCCACAAAGGACCTCCCCGGGCTTGCTTTGCTGAACACGGGGCAAATGATGCTAGTTTGAGTGGCTGCGGCCGGCGCAAACTACCGTCAGTCACTCCGTGCTCATCAAAACAAGTCTGGGGAGGTTCTTTGCGAGCGGCCAGTTCTAGCCACTTGCGCCCAGCTCTGCGGCTGAAGTGAACCCCCAAAGCCCCCGCCGCCACCAGAATATCTGCTGCCGCCTCCACCTCCGCCGCTTTCCTACTAGCTCCCGCGGCCTCATGGCTCCTCAAAAGCACGGCAGAGGAGGAAGGGGGAGGGATAACGCGGGGGCCAGCTCTGATGCTCCGCGTGGAGGGAGAGGCACCACTGCCATGGGCAGCTCATCAAAACAAGTCTGGGGAGGTCCTTTGCGGGCGGCCAGTTCTAGGGGCCTGCAAAGGACTTCCCCAC